CAGCCAATTTAATTACCTTACAAAATTGTCAGCAGAAGCAGCAAAGAAAAACAGGAAGGGTTGTGACGTTATCAAATTGAAATCTTCCTCTGTGCTGTTTAATCTAGACCAGTCAATAACAATGCTTCTCACCTCCTTGCTGCCTTCCCGAGGCTCTTAACCTTACTCTTCTTTCAAAGATTCCTGTTGTTGTTTGTAAGACTGATTTTGAACTCATCTTCGTGAGGACGTTAACAGATATTGAAAGATTCTTCTCCTTGGCAGTAAATTTTTCATTGTCTCTGAATGCTAGACTTGCCAAGACACAGACCCCCGAGGGCTGCCATGAGAGTTTGGCTTGCAGATTTTCATCACACTCTTGATCTGAAGGCAGACTGCCTTCCCCTCTCAAACAAGATAAGTACAATTTCTTGTTTCTCTCAAATAGAGGCAGAAACCTTACCTTCTCCCACTAAAAGGATGTCAGTGCAAAATCCAAAGGAAAGAAAGTACATATCCAGGAGGTTTAATGCAACTCACTTAAGAAAATTCCACTCGATTACCCAGCAGGTATTTTTCACTTGACCTCTTGTCTCATACATCTGCACAGAGCTAGTTCCCACTGCTGTGCCATGACTTCACTGGTTTTAATTGCTACAATTTTAAAATGGTCTCCCGAATGCCAGAACCATGTGTTTTGACACCCAGTGTCACCTCCACAGGCAGTGGATGCAATGATCCAGCCTCTTCGCTGGTTTTACCACACTCGAGCTCATAAAAACCATTATATGGAGATAAACTCAATCTGTCTCTGTTTGTCTCTGTTTGAGACAAAAGAGCTCAGCTAAGAAGTGCCATGTCAGATGAAACTCATGCTAAATCTTCACAGAGGAAGACTCAAATGTCTAGCAATTCCCCTCTGGGGGTTCCCACAAAGAAGTTGAAAAATGAGAGGGATTTTTTTCTAAATCACAAAGAATACATTATTTTATAATGCTTGATTTGCTATGATTATTATTTTATGTAGGGCAACAGGAAAGTGCTGGCCTTCGTGAGGACTTGGTGTAGCATTAAAAAAAATTTAAAAAATAGTCACTAGTAAGAAATGCTACTGGTGAAAGTTCAAAACTCTTCCTTTTTCCTTTGAAAAGTTTTTCCTATCTCTCTCGACTTTCTTTTGCTTTTAAGCTGGAAGAAGCCACATGCACGCACACACCCTTCCTTTGTAGCTCATTGTAACACAAAACATTCAGCTCCCTTTCTCATCTGCTTCAAGTCAGGCAACTCCAAAGCACCAAAAAGTCAAAACTACAGGTATGTGCCTCTACTTGTCTTTACCCTTCTTGAATGTCCTGAAGAAAATAAAACATCACACAAAGTGGGTTAAAACCTATCAGGTAAGTGAGCACCCTGCAGTGTAGATCTTTAGTCTTTCATCACATTTCCAGGAATAATGAGAGCAAATACAGTGGACAAACCTCTTTCACCTCCCTATCACAGGTCTCTCTTCACACCTTTGCTGTAGGAAAGAGGAGCTGCTCACAGCAGTAGAGACAAGGCCGGAAACGAGCAGTTTAAATAAAAAGGACATTTTAGAGCGCTCCAGACTTCAAAGTGCTGACAACCCAGCTCTACATAGTGGTAGTAGGTGGTGAAAAAAATGGGGTTTAAATAGCCCAGGCTCTTACTACCTTGGGCAAGACAAGGGGTGGATTTCTGAAAACACAGGTGAGCAATTACAGGTGTTTGACAGCTCTTAATGGGCTTATTAATTCAGCATCTCGGGGACAAGGTGTTGAGATGCCTGTAGGGGGTAAAGGCAGACCGAGAAAAGAGGCCCTATGTACCCTGCCCCACGTCGTGGGCAGAGGGGCCGATCGGCTGGGCTCTGGATCCGCCGAGCTCGCTGGAATGTCTTGGGAGCCGCTGCTGTGGGTCTGAGTACACACAGGAGCGGTGAATCGGAAAGCTGCGAAATGTGATCCCCGATAACGTAAAGGATGTGCCGGCGGTCACGTACTTTGGCTTTTGTTCGGTGCCAAGTGATAAGGAAAAGGTTTCCATCACACTTAGCACAGCGGAGAGACAAATACTAGGCTGCTGCTTTTCTCCCTCGTCAAGGTGGGACTCATCCTTTTATCCGCATCAATGATTTAGGGCTGGTCCCACCTGACACCCTCGAGTGCCGTAGAGACAAACCTCACCTCCAGCGCTCCCTGGGCTCGCTTGTGGGAAGCTGCTCAGAAAGGGCAAGGGAGGGCCATGAAGCAATGTGGCACTCAGGAGGGGCGCCTGGTGTGATGCCCAGCTCCGGCAGCAGCAACAGGCAGGTGTCCAGACGCCTTACAAGTGTCGCTGGGGAGGGAGCGGTGCCGTGGCACCAGCCTCTCTCCGTGTTTGCTCCATAAGGTACAGACAGAAACAACCTCCCGAATCTGACAAATAGCCCAGGCGGTCCGACTTCCCTGTGTGGCTGCTGAAAGGTAGCTTGAGAGAGAGAGGGAGGGAGAAAAAGGACATGCCGGCTAGTCCCAACAATGAGAGGAGCCGTGGGAAGGACAATGCGAATCCATGGTGGCTAATTTGCACAGGAAGAATGAGGGGGCTGCAGCTCTGGCAGGCTTCAAGCTCTCCCCTGTTGCCATAGCGCTGCTGGCTGAGGAAGGAGAGCGGGGGCTGGCAGGCTGCTTTCTGGAGGGAATCTCCTCAGCTCCCCCTTCTCCTCGGGAAGGGCTCCACGGCATCCCGTCCTCCTGGCCGCAAGGACATCCCAAAGGGACTGACAGCACGGGAACCCAGAGGGGGCGGTGGGGAATTCCCCCTCAGAAATAACCAAAGATTTCCCGCAGCTCAGTCCCTGCTCCCTCCCTCCGCCCTGCTATGCCCTACGCAGAGACAGAGATGTCAGCCTTTGGAGAAGGCGTGGAAGTTCTCCCGTGGTCACAGACAGAGTGAGTTAGCCTGGACTAAGCTAAATCCAGACTCCTTTAAAACTGAAATGTGCAACAGGCCCGGATGAGCAAGGCAAAAGTCTTCCTGCTCTTTTCCCGTCTAACATTCTCCACAACAAAATAAACTTATCAACTTCTCCCTACCTACTTTTAATGTTCAGTGATGGTTTGGCGACAATTCTTTTCAAAGGCTGCTACAAACAGCGGAGTGAGCGCAACTCGTTGGCCAGCTGTGTGACCAGGAGGCAGCTGGGAAGGGAGGTTAGCCCGGTAAAACACACGCATGCCCCACCACGTCACTGGGCAGCAGAGACGCGCTGCATCACCTTTCAGCCGCGGGGTTATTTATTGCTCTAACGGGGTTATTTATTGCCAGAGCGCTGCTCTGCAGGGCTGTCCCCAGGGTACACCGGACTGACACTTCAGAGGGAATGCCGCTCTAAAGAAGGAAAGTCCACCTCTCGTTAGTGCCGTGACCAGGAGGATGTTTGTTTACACAGCTGTACCTGAAAGTAACTCGGGCTCCTAGGGACAGACCCATGGAAAGACAGACAGCCGGCCAGTGCCATGTTACAGGCATCCTAGCACTAAATTCACGGCGATGATTATGGATCAGACTGATTGCAAAATAGACCCCACAGTGATATACGGGCCCGTGTAGCCATGTCCAAAGAAACAGGCATTCCTGAGGGCGGTTGCTAAGAGCAACGTGCCATAAGCACCACCTTTGGACCAGATGGAAGCAGGAAAAAAAGTGCTGCTAGGAATTCAGAGATTGGTAACAGCCTGGTGACTTTTTAATGATTACTCACTTTCCCCTCCATATAAAACTGTGTGCGGGGGTGCTGAATTAAATTAAAATAGATACAAACCAAGGCATTATTCCCAGGCAAAGGCAAGAGGTTTCTGTGCCCCAAAGAAACGGATGCAGCGGCTGCCTCAGTTTATCGCGGACAGCCGGAATGCGGGAGATCCGCTCTTGCTCCGGCCACCCGCGCTGTCGGCAGGCACAGAGGATGCTGCTTGTATGGGGGAGCAATTTTCAGCCTGTCCCTTGCTGGCCGCCCCCCGCCGCGGCTCACGCGCTGTACCCGGGCGACCAGGACGATGCTGATGCGGGGCTCCCATCGTATCTCGCCCCGGACTAGCACCGAAGGACATCCCCGACAGCACAGACCCCTTCGGACCTGCTTTCCGAACTTTCCGTCCTGCCCTTCCTCGCTACAAAACTTCTGTAGGGGATGCAGCGGCTGGAATTTGTCCCTTGCTTGCTTAGACACACGAACATGCGCCCTTGCACAGGCAGAGCTCCTAAGGTCAGTGCCCTGGTCCAGCTGGGATAGCCTTTAAACTGTAAACCCTCTCTACTCTTGAAATACCATTCTGATCTGCTTGCTTCTTTTTTTTTTTTTTTTTTTTTTTTTTTTTTTTTTCCCGGGAGCGGGAGGAACTCCTACAACTTTCCTCCCATCGAAAAGCTGTGCTTTTGAGATGTACCGCAAAGCTCTTCCCCGAGCACCGCTCAAGACATAAATCATCTCTTGTCTAACCCTAAACGCCACTCAAATGTCAAGCAAACAGACAGATACTTCAAAGGAAATCAGCCCAGAGGTCTCAAATCACAGCGTTACGCCCGCACGGGATCGGCTCGGGGGATCAGAGACGGGCGGCCGAAACTCAACAACTACTTGACAGGTTTTCAACTGATCAATCACCGTATTAGCCATGCTTTCCCCTACCAGGGAAACAATAAAGCAAAACAATGAAAACAATTATGAGAAAGCCACACAAGCTGCGCAGAGCCTTAGGCAACCACGTCCGCCACTCTTTTTTCTATTGTTATTATAATTATCATCACCATCGTGCCGTTACTACGGCTACAATGAGCAGCAGAGACAGAAAAAAAATCACACAGCAATTCATCTCTCCGGATGCAAAATAAAGAGGGACTTCGCCGCCCGACTCCGGCAGCACGTCCCAGCTGTCCCCCAGCATCCCCTTCTGAGTCAATCCTACGCACATCGCGTTCAGGCTTAAACACAAAATGAAAAAAGTGTCGGGAAATCTTACCAAATCTCAATACATGTGTGGTTCCTTGAGAATATCCAATCCACAGTAAGCAAAGAAGGAGTCTAATGGTGCATCTGAAGACTGAATTAGTTACAATACGGGAAATAATCTTCATGATGTTTCTATGCACACACGCGCTGCCTTACTTCCCCCTTCTAAGCCGTCAGGTTTCCCGGTAGGGTGAGAATGAGGATACGCAAACTGGCGGCCCTCAGACACGATCACGGCATGGTCACAGAGAGAGCAGAGAGTCTACGCTTCCCAAACCCATTAGCAATCCCTGCATGTTCTTCATTCACTGCGCCAAGGAGCAACCTTCAACTGCAAGGAATGGTGGGACATCCATGTTAGTCGGGGGAGAATCCTTGAGAAATCCAAACACACGCAGCGTCCAGCCGAGTAAACCTGAGAGGCGAGAAAGGAGGAAAATCAATAGGTAATCCAGCTCGAGAGACCGCTGAGGTACCGCCACACAGCGAGCGCCCGCGTTCCACTGGCGGAGCCTTTGCCGTGCTCCCGTTCTACTGCACTGCTGCACAGCTTCTGACGCGAAGCCAAGATTAAGTGAGAGAAATTGAGATAGCTCTTCTCTGCTTAAGGCTGCCTGCCAGACAGCCTTCCCAATTTCTATTATGCAACCGATCTGATCGCCCAGCTTTATCGGAGGGGAAAAAAAACCCAGCTCGGTTATATTTTCATGCTTCTCATTGTTATTAGTTATTCAGTTGTTCTGAACAATGGCTAAAGGGGCGGGGGGGCGGGGGGGGGGGAGTGTTGGTAGAAGGGAGAAGGGAATCGGTTGTGTGACAATCAATTCCTGTATTTCAATAGCTGACTGCCTGGGTCGAGATCACTTAGCTTTGGAGTTGTGAAAGAGAAGGCTGACAACAAAGTCATGCAGGTTATCAGAGTAACGTTCAGGTTTGGAGGGGGGGGGGGAAATTACAATCATTAACTGTTACTCATTTTAGTGCATGATGTAGGATAAATGCTGTGGCTTGTGTACAGCCTGGCCCTAGGAACTTGCTCCGGACTCAGTGATAACGGAGCACCAGGCTGCTTCTGCAAGGTAACAGGAATCGGCAGCGCTGGAACAACCTTGTTGAATGCATAGACCTGTTTCACTAAACTTGCTTGAAATTGCAGTGCTGCTTAAAAGACAGTAACTAGGGGATTTACTAGTTTGCGATTTTCACTTTATTCTGCCACTCTCATTTTGCACTCTGCTTTCTTTTCACTCCAGCATTGTGGAAATGTTGCTGTTCCTCCCTATACTATGATCTACGTAGTTTGTCATTTTGCTGTCCTCAGTGAGAACAACAGCATTCCCCATTTGATAATGGGATACTGAGTTCATATCTGGAAATGCAGCCACAGATTTTTGGGTTTTGACCAGATGTTCCAAAGATAAACCCATTCTGTGGACTACTTCAGATTTTCCTTGGAAATGCAATTAGCTGTGTGTCTGCATCCACTGAAATACATTAAACCAGGACTGCCAGACTTTGCAATCTAAGTCAGGATTTGCTGAACCTGCTTGAGCTTTACTACAAACACTGAAGAATAATTCCTGTATTTCTCATCAGGAAAATGAATTAATTTTTTCCTACATTCCTCCTACAGACATCTTTTGTCTCCTTTATCTCCCTCCTTTGCTTTTCATTAATAAAGAAAATATCACTAGGAGCCTTTCCACACAGATACATACAGAAGAACATAGAATAAACCTGACTTTACAGACGTAAATATCAATGATGCCAAGCTAATGAGAACACTCTGTGAAATCTATCAGAAGTAGAGCATGGCAGAGGTGAGTTACAGTTTATTCTTAATTAACATTTGTGTGTTGTAGACCTGTAAATAAGTAACAGCAGCATCAGGATTATAACTTGTAGTATTTGTGCTCTGTACCCCTAGAAGTGTTAACAATTCTGAGTAACTTTTTATCATTTTGCCTTACTGATTTCCTCTGCACACTTTTACTTAAAATACTGTAAAATGCTGATGAAAAGAAATGTACAGTCTGCGAGAGGATTATTAAACATCATTGATTTTTTTTTCCTTAAGATGGAGGCATAACTGCAGTGTCAAAAATAAGTATCATGAATGGCTAGTTCTGCAGTCTAGCAGGGAATTCAGTCAGACGATTTGACTATTGGAGCACTTTAAAAAGAACACCTAGTGTTAAAAGCAAGGATATCTAGCGACTCCTTCAGTTCACACTTAGAATATCTCCCAGTAAAAAATGCAGAGAGCTGCTTTTTCTTCTATTTACTATTTCATTTATTCTCTTCTACTGGTTTCTATTTTTTCATAGTCCAAGGAGAAATAAAACCAACCCACGTGAACACTGTGAAAGTTCATTGCCTCCCTCCCTGGTGTTGCTGAAATAAAGGATGTGATTTAGATACGTTTTTAATGCTCAGGTGCAGCTTGCAGTCTAACCGGATTTTTTTTATTATTTTAAAAATTTTGTTTTGGTGAGAAGTTTTGAAAATATAATATTCGTCGCCAGGTTTAGCACATTAAACAATACACGAACTTTGGACAAAGTGACTCCTGTTACCAGTTTGATTCTCTAAGCTCTCTTAGAAAAAAACAATACAGCTACCTGTAATCTCAGCCCAACAGGGCAACTAACTCACGGAGGCGTTTAGAACTGGAATCATAAAACAACTTGTGGTTAATTCATTCCTGTTACTATTAAACACTCATCAGCCCACGCTGCAGCCCCGGGTCTGACGCCTGAGGCTCGCACCGAGTTTCCTTCCCCCCGCCAGCCCCCGGCGGCCTCAGCACCGCGGACAGCGCCCGGAGCGGCCCCAGCGCCCCTTCAGCACCGCGGACAGCGCTCCCGGCCGCCCCCCGCTTCGGGTGCCAAAACGCCGGGGGGTTTCACCCTCCCCACTCATCCCACAGCGAGGAAAGGAAATTAAAATCTGTTATCGGCTTCTTTAGAGATATATATTATGCCCTCTATTATCTTAGCTAGCCAGCTATTTTATGGGTTCAGAAGAAGCACCGATGTCCTCCTTATCTACTATCAGACATCACCTAATGCTCTGTATTAACATTCCTCCTCCTTCTTTCAAACCCTAGCTCCCACCTTGAAAAAAAAAATCGTAGTTAGCCCAGAAATATTTTCTCAAGAATACAAGTCCCTTATATAAAAAAATCAAATCTTGCAAGATATCAGATGTTTAGAACACACTAAATATTTGGTGACTGAAGATCACTTATAGACTATATAACTGACTAAAGCCTCAGTCTTCCCTACCCTAGACTCCTTTTCTGTTATTTGGACTTTAATTCCACTACTTCTTAATGAAAAAGAAAAGAGTACCTTCTTGCATCCTCCAGACTGATTTCAACATGAAAACAGGTAAATAGTCTTAGTGCCTTCAATATTTCTTTCCCTGTGAGATGTACAATTCAAAGTCTGGAAATCCCTAATAAAATGTCATGGTAGATAAGCTGGTCTTCTGTTTTGAGATCCTGTCACCACTCTTACACAGCTCTTTTCATATTGAAGTCTGTATGAAACTGCCCTCTCCACTTCAGTGATCATCAGCTGGGAAATCTACAATTCCTTGGATATATGTTTTGATTTGTTTGGTCATCTACTGTAGACGTGGTGGTAACACATCTCTAATACACAAGAACATCTTTAATACACAGGGCTCTGTTCAAGTGTAGCTGATATGAAAAATAGTAATCCAGCTATAGACAGGGGAAGAAGGAGAGACAGTCTGAGGCCTTACATCTTTTCTGGGTAATGAAAACCTACTGCAGTTTTAGCTGTGTGTCAAGTATAAATGGTGTACATTATGTACATAATGTTTCATTTGGAAAGGGAAGATATGTGATTCGGATTACCTTACTATATCAGGAGCTTTTCCCATCAGATCTAATTTTTATGTGCTGTTATCATTATAAAAGTTAACCCAGTTCCAGTTAGCTGCCACCTACTGGGATGTATAGTTTTGTCATATTACTTTAAAAAGGAATGGGCTTTTATTTTCAGGTCATAGCTGTGCCTCTAAGAACAGACAGTGAGGTTTTTATATCACGTAATCTACTATTTTGACCTCTCACAACAACAGCTGCTATAAATTTAATGTATGTACAACATATGGTCCCCCAAATGTTTCTCGGACATTTTTCACCAAATCCTTGCAAACGTTTCGGATTCACATGCCACCACAGTCCTCCTGCTGTTGCAATCTGGTGTGAGGAGAGCCACAGCTTACTGCAACACCTGACCAGCATCTCTAGATCTCTAGAATCAAGTATTGCAGCTTTGCTGACAAAGCAGTAACACAGTCCTCCCTTCTAAAACGCTTGCCAAAGTATTCAAATGAATGTTGATGTTATCATTTAAAACAAATTGCGGCCCACTGGCACTTCACTCCCACCAGCTATTAAAAAAACCCCGTAGGTCCTTCTCTGTTTGTTATTATCTCAGTCCAAATTTACAACCAAGTTTCTGCTGCGCCAAAGATTAATGACATTTTAAGATGGCAATTAATTTTTAGCTAGTGGAAAGACTTGTATTCTAATTAATGAAGTGAGTGTGCAATAGACTTTCTTGTTCCGGCACTTTTGAGTATCACAGCAATGCACTTTCCTAGCAAGTTTTAAGCAGCAAAAACAAATACTTCTGACATGATCTACAGATCAGCCTTTGGTCCCTTCAGCTTCCTTTGGGGCTGGGGAAGCTGTGCAAGATTTTTTGGAGGAAAATGATGATGCTTTATGCTTTTCCTGCTGTACTGCCCCAAAAGTTTCTAAGGTTTCCATTACAATCTATTCATTCCTTCTCAGTGCACGCAAGGCTCTCGCTATCATGCCTGCACTCCGTAGGCAGGAATGCCTCTTGCTTTCCAGAGAGTGTCAGCGCCCTGGCTACTTTAGCGATGGATGCTCCCCCAAAGAAAGCTGATTTTGTTCAGAAATAAATGACAGGGCTGCCGATAAGCCGAAAGGGGGACTGTCAGCGCCGTGCGGTGGGGCCGGGTAGGGGCAGGGGGAGACCTTACGGAAGTACAGACTGCTGTCCACCCACAACTCTAGCGAAGTTAGAGCCCGGTTCTCACCTCCGCTCCCCCACGAGAGCGGGGGGCACATCCTCACTGCAGCCGGCTCGGCCTCCCTGAGCCCAGCTCGGGAGCCCCGGTCCGGCTGCGGGAGAGAGCCCCGGGCCACCGGGAGAGCCCCGGGCGAGGGGCATCGGGGGCTGCGCTGCTCCGGCCTCTTGCTCCCCCTTCCCACAGCTCCACTTTCAGCGTGGGGACAGCGGCGGCTCTGACGATGCGGAGCAGCGATGGAAGGAAGACAGGAAGCCGACAGGTCTGCTTTCCCCACAGCGAGGGACAGACCCGGGCGGCAGCAGCGCTCGGGTCGGCCGGCTCAGCGCTCGCCTTTGCCCCGAGACAGCTGGCCGAGAGCCATCGTGGTGTGCAGCCCTAGGCACGACGCGGCCACGGAGCATCCCCCGCCACCCCCGGCCCCCCCGCAGCCCCTCGCTGGCATGCAACCCCTCCGGCCGCGGCGGCCAGCCGGAGACCCGGGACATCCTCCTACCTTGAGTTGCGGGAGGGGAATCGGGGAGGGAGAGGAAGGCGGAGGCGGGGGAGGAAGGGCGGCGGCAGGACGCCGGGGACAGCCCGGGCTGCGGTGCAGCCGGCGTCCGGGCACCACTGACGGCGGCGGCAAGCGGGGAGGGAGGGAAGGAGGGAGCGAGGGAGGAGGGAGAGCGAGAAGGAGGGAGGGAAGAAGGGAGGGATGGAGGGAAGGGAGGAAGGAGGGAGATCCGCCTCCCTTCGGGAGCGCTGCACAGCGCCCTTTAAAGGAGCAGAAACCGCTTTCTCTACGGCCGCCGCTGCCGGCTCCCCGCACGGCCAAGTGTCGCCGGTGCCCGCCGGCCGGCGCTGGGCGCAGCGCTCTCCCCCCGCGCCGTCTCCCCAAGAGCCCGAACTCGCCGGGCAGTGAGTTTTAGCGGGGTTAACAGTCCAAGCTCCCAACTGGGGTCCCCGAGCCCCTTTTGTGAACGCGGAGAAAGCGGGAGTTGGATCCTGCCGCCTGTGAAACAGCTTCAGAGACCCTTGCCCGTCCCCATTCTTCCCCCTGGATGCGGGGGTGAGTGGAGTGCTCCTATCTCAGACTGCGGGGGTGCTCGAAAAAGCTTCGGCTGCTTCTCGACTTGTTGTAATGCTGAAACCTGCCTGTCCCCACTCCTTCCTTGAACTAGCGGGTACTGAGCTCGGGCACTTCCCCGGGCTGGAAGAGGATCCAGGGCGTGAGTGACCACATCTGCCCCAGCAGCCCCCCTCCCTCGGCCCCCGACTCGCTCCTAAGCGCCAACGCTGCGGGAGGGGGCTCTGGTAAAAGGACCGAGGCCTCCCTGGTGAATTGGGGTGGGAAATGTATCGTCCGCCCCGCCTTGCGGGAGTGCCAATGATTTCCTCCCTCGCCCAGCCGCACTCGCCCCCGCAGCGCCACAGGCGTCTCCTCGCCTCTTGTGAGCTTCTCCCGATTTTGTTTCGTGACTCGGACATGCCTTGAAGAGCTGCAGGATTTCCCCTGCGCCTCCCCCTCCACAGTGCAGCCTTCTCGAGGTCTGACCTCCAGGCAGATGTGATGAGCAATTTGACAGGAAAATCCCTGTCTCCTCGCCTTTCCCTCACGGAAAATTCCCGTTCCCGGATCCGCCGGGGGAGCGCAGCCCGTACCCCACAAAGGATGCTCAGGCGTTGCCCCGCTTCATCTGCCCCAGCGACAAACCGGCTATCAGAGGCGGGAGGGGAGGGCTCAAAAAGCGCCGAAGAGATGGGGTTGGAGCGGGTGGGGGTGGGTGACTGAAAAGCTCCTATAATTAAATAAACAGCAGAGTTGTTGTGCGAAGTAAATAAATAGTCAATGATCCCATTGTGGAGCCGAGCGCAGGCGGCACAGACTGCGACGGGCTCGCAGCGATTGGGCTCCGGCCGCTGTGACTTGCAGCTTAATCGGTCCCACAGCACATCCCTTAATTACTTGCAGCACACTTCCATGGCCGACAAAAAACTCATTAGTCAGTTCATTTGCCCGAAGCGGTAATGGAGATAACTCTTGTTAAAAGCAAACGCAGTGCTAAAGCAAAGCGCTCCATGCCACCCAGGGCGGCGAGGGGAGATGCGCAGGAGCTTCTCCAGGACTCCAGGACTAAGCGGGTCGCGGGTGGAAAACAGCGGAAGAACGTCGTGGAAAGCAGAGCTCTGTGCGATCCTGCAGGAGGGAAAGGAGTGGCGGGGAGCGCCACAGCAGTAACCAAGTCATCTCCACGGTCTCCGGGACAGGCAAGGCAGGTTAACGCCACAAGACCAGCCACAGGGTGGGAGGTATACGAGGTCGGATGAGCAAACCCTTGTGCAAGCACCGATTCGGTGATTTCGTCCCTTTTTGTTTTATCACTGACTGCTTTTGCATTGCTACTTACTATCCAGAGTTTTCTGACCAGAGAACAAACAGAGAACAAGTCAAATATATAAAAGTACATGAGCAAAGCTGTCACTCTAGGATGACAGAAAGGAAGGCAGGGGAAGAAAAGGGGTATGGTTCTGACATTGTGGATGGATTGTGTAATAGCCTCATGTATTCACTTCAACTCAACTACATTGATGTAGAGCCTTTTCCCTTGTTGCCTGGGTTACATTTCTGTCCAGACATTAAATTCTCAATGCTTTCCTCAGCCAACAACAGTTTACCAAGAATTAGGTCCTCTCTGACAAGAAAGAGGTTCCCAGTGCCATCAGTGCTGTTGTCATTACCTATTGTTATCTATTATTCAGGGTATTTAGAGACTTTGCATATGTCTCATTAGTACTCAAATGAGGGATATTGGAGCAGGAATGTTGGATGAACAAGCCTAAGATCACGCTGCAAGTCAGGGACATAATGGGAAGACAGTCTGTGATTGTAATTTCTCAAGTGTTGACTATTGCAAAACTCCTTCATTTCAATACTGACAGAACTTCTCATGTTTCTTCCCAGTTACACTGAAGGAACTTTGCACTTTATCAGCATCGACCACTAGAAAGAAATAGGAAAGTACAGACTCAGTTTGTCAGTATCCAAAATGAGATGTACCAGAAAATTTGCTACAAAAGGTCCTGGACTCTAACAAGAAAAAACAAAGCAAAACAACACAAAAACAACAACAAACAACCAAAACAAAACCAAACAAAAAAAACAATAAACAAACAAAATCTCACAACCACCCCAAGCCAGCCCCCAAACTTCTTTACTTGCTTGCTTGTTTTATTGTTGACTATTTTAATTACAATTTATAAATTTATCAAATAAGAATATACATGTCAACTTTACATCATCCATTTAAAACATTTTTTATAAAAACCAATAAGAACTTACCCCATTAAAAGTAAACACGTCTGCAAAGATCTTTGTGAGGATGGTTTTTGAGTTTGTTTGGTTTTCTCAGTATTGTTTTTAAACCTTTTAAATGAAATTATCTGTGTTTATTATATTCCCATTAGATGCATTTACACCTCAGAGTTAGGAGTAATGTAAACTTGTAGCATAATTCCTTTAAGCCTTCCAAAATTAAGTTACCAGAGGATGACAGATTCATCCTTTCCCTACAGAAATCTATCACTAGTACCCAGTAAATCTGAATATTTAATACTTTTTCTTTCCTGCTTTGTCTTTCCATTAGGTCAGCTATGATAACACACACACTGACAGAATTTAAGATCTTTCAAAAGAGTTTCCATCAAATATTTTTTATAATGCCAGATCTACAAAGACCCCCAACCAACAGAAACAACAATATTTTAGGGATTCTGGATGCTGTGGCTTAGCAACCCTAAACAGATTCTGTCCAATTTAATGACCCAAATCTGAGTACTGACATTTGTTCAAGATGTGTGGTTCACAGCTTGTGCCCTGCCACAGAAAACAGCGAAGAAAACCTTTGGGATTTCAGATTGCAGACAACTGAGTTTTTTGTTCTTTCTGCCAGCCATTGTTTTAATTTTTTTTTTTTACCCTCTTGCAGTTGTGAACAATATTGTGTGGCCTTTCAGGAAATCTGTCTCCTCCTGCTATGACAAAGATTTTTGGTACATCTCATGGGCAAAGAAAGAATTATCCTCCCAAATGTTGCCTTTTCACAGCTTTTAATAATGACCTTGTATACTCATATTCTTGGTGAAGCTGGCTGCATGTATCAAGCCATGTCCCTTCAAACAGAAGAATGAGTCAAAGCAGGATGGAATAAAAACAAAAAATCTGTCTAAAAGAAACAAATCCCTTTCCTTGTATCATCCACTTGAGGGAGACAGTGAGCCATAGGTTATATCCATATGTCAGTTTGATGGATCACATACAAAATTGATGAGGAATTTGTACCTCATCAATAACCTGTGTTATTCACGTGCTATTGCTAATTTTAAAAGTAACAACCTGTGTGACATAGCAGGCATCAAACAGTTCTCTTTTCTTCTTGCCTAGCAAGATGGAATCATCCAATGACTTTTGCTGATAGCAATGTCCAGACTCTTTCAAGATGATATTCCATAACTCTAGAATTAATATCTTGCATTTGGACTACCTCACCTTATTCAAGACTTGCGTTTGACTCACTTTATGATTTAAGAAACATACTAAAGCATATTACATTACTAAGAGGGCTAAAATAGACACTACCAGAAGCCATAAAAGAATAAAGCTTAACTTGTGTCTGAATGCCTTTGGACATACATACATGTCTAGGAAGTTTTATTTTATTTGGTGCCAGTCATGATGCATTGTACAATATTATCCAACAGATATTTAGCCCTCCCGGGAAGACTTTCATGGCTTAGCTGTTGTTATTGTTAGGAAATATTCTGATGTTTGCCTCAAACAGCCTTATGGCAATGGGAAATCATCACTCTTACCTGCAGACAACATAAAGACAAGTTTTCATTCCTCTGTGTAAAAGTGTCTTCTGAACAACTGAATAAATATTACACAGGAAGCTAAATGTCACTCCTTTCTTAAAGAAGGCCAAAGGAGGACACAGGGAGCTCCAGACTAGTCAGCTTCATCTCAGTTCCTGCAAAAGTGATAGAGCACCTAATCCTGAAAACCATTTCCAGGCACATGTAGGACAGGAGGAGTCAGCATAGATTCACCTAGGGAAAGCCAAGTTTGACCAAATTGATAAACTTTTAAAATTAGGTGACCAGTTTGGTGGATGAGGGGAGAGCACTGGATATTGCCTACTGCACTGTTTCCTATAAGATTCTCATAAAGAAGTTGATGTATGGGCCAGATGAGCAGATGGTGAGGTATGTGGAAAACTGGCTCAAGGACCAGGCCCAGAGGATGGTGGTCAGTAGCATGAAGTCTAGTGGGAGGCCAGTAAACAGCAATGTAGACCAGGGGTCATTACTCTGTCCATATAATTCCACATCTTCATTAATGATGTGGATGATGGAGCTGAGTGCGCCTTCATCCAGTTTGCCAATGACACCAAACTGGGAGGAGCAGCTGATACACCAGAGGATTGTGCTGCCATCCAGGAGGATGCTGACAGGCTGGACGAGTAGCCTGACAGGAATCACATAAGGTCAACAAAGGCAAGTGCAGGGTCCTGCACTTGCAAATGAACAATGCTCAATTTGCAGTTGATTATCTGCAACACTGTGTGGCAGGAAAAGCCCTGGG